ACAAATTTCATGTTTACTGATGGAACCCAGTAAAACTGTGATGAATGAGAATCTTTAAAGATAATATTTTTCTCCAGACAAAAATAGATATATGATAATTCTTTGAAAGTTTAGATTATGTAGACAAGTTTTAGAAATATTTAGTTGTGTTATCAAATGATAATAATTATTCATATTATATATGTAGCATAGATTTTTATTTTCTATGTTTAAACTTACTATTATAGGGTGGATGTTTTCCACACAGAGAAGGTGGGCATGCTAGTTATCAATTACCTCTCAGCTTTGAATTCACCTTTCATTGCCCTGCTTGGCGACAGTGGAACTGAAGCCTGTGGACGTCTCTCCTTTGCCTTGGGCTGGTACTAGACTTTGTTGTGGAGTGTGCTGAAGGGCCAGTTTAGGGCCAAACAGGAGGAATGCATTCCCCTTCCTCTTCTTGGCCTTGGATCTGGCAGGTCAGTGTGGAGGGAGGCTGGTGGGCCTCATCTCTGTATCCCGGGTGGACCAACTCTGCCAGCCTGCACTTCCGGCACATTTTCCCAGTACTCAGGGACCATTCCTATGTACTAGCTCCCACCCACAGCCTCTGAAAGGTTTCTTCACCACCTGGCAGGTGGCTCCTATGGACCACTTTTGGCCCACACCCTTCAGTAAGGGTCTTTGACAATGTCAGGATGTTTCTTATCCTTGAAGGGGGCAAGTTGCTTGTTCCTTTTTCTTACTGCTTTCTGTATATGCTACTTTGGAGCTCCTTAAAGTTCTCTTTTACCCCCTTTAGGTAATCAGCTACCTTTTTAATAGTTATACATCTTTATAGTAAATGTTTCATGTCCAAGTTATTGCCTTTGTTTCTACTTTCTGACTGGACCCCAGCTGATTAAGAGGAGAAGAGATGTCATAAGTGATTTCGGAAAAAAGAACTATTCCCTCCTTTGTCCCTCCAAAAGTATAACTAACACACACACACACACACACACACACACACACACACACGCACATGCACACGCACACACACCCCCAACCAAAGGCCATTGAGAATCACTAGTTTCATATATTCTCCGTTTTCCAGAAAGCAAACCCGAGGCAAGTCTTACGTGTATGCTTTAGTAGTGGGTACAATCACAGGAACCAGGAGGAAAGGACAGGGTGATTAAAGCCGGGAAGGAGAGAAATGCTTCCTGTCGTGGCATAAACTGCTCCATGCCCCCCGCCGCCTCCAGGTGTATACGAGGGGCTTGATATGCATGTGAGTTATTCCCTGTGCAAATACGTCTTCCCAGTGTTGCAACCTCTGACTTTTTCTTAGAGCAAATTATTTTAAATATATGTATCATGTCAAAGTATAGGAAATAAGAATTTTAACTAGAATTCTACAGAATTCTTATTTCCTGAGCATTCTGGTGAATGGAAATTTTTTGTTTACTCTGTTTTCTCCAGTCAGATATCCCTTTTGTAAGCTAGAGGTGCCGTTCATTTAACACCATGGTTTTGTGTGTGGTGGAAGCGGAGGCATGAGATGAGGTGGAACCACCAGAGGATCTACATTCAAACAGAATTCTTTGCAAATTGACATGCATTTAGCTATAAAATTTCAGGCTGCTTTATTTTTCCACTACAAAGGTGGAATCTGTTTACCTTCAAATTCTGAAGGTTCTTCTGAATCTTTTTTTTTTAATGGAAAAATAATTGCTTTACAATGTTGGTTTCTGCTGTATTGAATCACTTTTGACCACTGGGAGTTATGCAAACCATGGGGCCCCCACTGAGCACCCCAACTTCACTGAGTGAAGTAATGAGAAGAGAGTAGTCAGGGGGGGAAACACAGCACTGTTGTCCTATAGAAAGTGCACATACTTGGCACTGGTTAAAAACTGGACTGGTCAGAGTTTGTCATCTTTCCTGAGAGACGAGATCAGACCAGGATGGGAAATAAAGCTGGGAAGTTGGAGCCAGGTGAAACCAAGAGTGAGGGGCGAGGGGAGCAAAGGAGAGAGCCCGGCAGGTCGGCCTGGGACTTGGTGAAGAATGAGGCCAGATGCTCCGAACTCTCCTTCCTACCAGTTTTGACAACCTTTGTGGGCTAAAGACCCTGAATTAAGGGCTCAAGTCAGCCAGATAATCAACCTTAAATGATGCTCATGTCTTCTGCCCACCAGCTGTCCCCTCACCCTGGGGTCCAGACATCCCTCCAGAGGTCTCTCTCAGCCTTTAAGAGAAAATCAAACTTCTGTTTATAGAGTATGAATGTCTGCAGCTTTTCCTCAAAACATCACCTGAAATTTCTTTCTCTGTATAAATTATGCTGCAAAAGGTAAAAGGTGTGTGTATCGTGACTCGGGTCACTGCTGATTCTCTCTTAAACTCTGCGGGGGCAGCACGGCACACACATGGGAACCTCAAGTCTAGAGTCCTCTGTGTGCATGACCCCCTGATGCAGATCTTATTGGCCTTCATTCTCATATCACAGACACCCTAGCCATCCCTTTCCCTGCCCAATCTTGAACTCAGATTGTTGCATCCAGTATTTAGTTTAAGCTCAGCTGTTTACCTGGCTAGCCCGTGTCTTTAATCCAGGGTCTTTCACCCACCTGGGTCCCAGAAAGGTAAGAAGTTCAGGCATTCCAGTTTTATTCCTCACACAGTCTTCGTTTTTCCCCAGTGTTTGAATGAATGTACCCAGCACAAGGTTAGGTGCTGGAGGAGAGGGAAGTAATGGCATGTATGATCCTGGCTCTTGCATCCCTTTGGAAATCTATTGAAAGCTATAGACTATCTCTCGAGGGGGAAAAAAAAAAGCCCATACACATAAAATTTTGTATGTGATTCTTAAAACTTATGACCTCGCTTTTGGAAACCTATGTCTGGACCCTGGTTCCAGCTAAATCTCCTACTTGAATTAGATAAATGAGAAACAGCACAAGACAATGTTATGATCAGGAGCGAAACTGAATGGTATATGTGTGACTATGTATAAACTGACAGTGAATGCAGTAAAAACTTCCGAGAAAGTGAGAAACACTGCAGCTATCTCTAAAAAGTATGATCCAGGAGTTGTGTGATTCACATGGGCATTTCCCAGAGTCTTGAAACCCCAAGAAATGGGAGAAATATGTCTCTCGGTACTTATCTCCTGCCTAAACTAACTGAAATCAAAGGATGGTCATATTTCACTCTTGAGCACTGATTAAGATTCTTCCATTTCCTGTACAGTCTTTGGCCAAGAACCAGAGATAGTGAAATGTAAGATAAACTGTGTGACTTTCTAAGATACAGTAACTAAAGTAAATTTGATTATAGAAGTCAATGACTTTCTAAAAACATTATTTTCGCCTGCGCTGGGTCTTTGTTGCTTTGCACACGCTCTCTCTAGTTGCGACAAGTAGGGCCTGCTCTCTAGTTGTGGTATGTAGCTTCTCATTGGCTGCCTTGTGTCGTTGCAGAGCGTGGGCTCTAGGGTTTCACTAGTTGCGAGGCATGGGATTCGGTCAGCACTGGAAGGGGGGAGTGAAAGAAGAATGTTCAGCAAGTTCAGCCACCCCATGAGGAGAAGCCTGACCCTACAAACTTTGGCGAGAATTTCTAACATATTGTGTGCCTCAGGCTTGCAGGTGGGCCTTTGAAATCATTGCTTAGGTTTGGCAACCGTGTGGTGCCTCTCGGCAAGCATTTATTGATGTATCCATTAGAAAGTGCCATGATTTGCTTGCTAAGTTTCTGTTTCATTTGCATCTTAATGTCCTATCATTAGGATATAAGTACGGGCAAAGGGAATTGAGTAATTCAGAAATTCCCTCCAGGGATCTGGTAAGCTGAGACTATGAACTTAGAAGGCTGCAGCCTAGAAAAACAGATCTTTGAGCTTGAAAAGTGTTTTGAAATGGACCCACCATCTGATCTGAAGGGTCAAAACACAGAAATACGTCATTAGCAGCCTTATTTTATGTCTGAAGTTGGTGCTCACCAAGGTCACTTTTCGGAGTCTCCAGGAAGCCCCTGGTGTTTTGATTTGGGGTTTTTACTGCATGTGTTTTGAGCCAAAGGTTTGTAGGCGATGCCACAGCCATTGCCTCCTGGAAAATGCAACTTTGTTTCCGAAATTTGTATCTGTGGTTTGTGCATTGTAGGAGTAGAATCATATAAGGAAAACCATGGGAGCCAAACAGCTTTGATTTTAAATCCTTCACTGAGTTATATGACATCTCAGAATCTCAGTGAGCTCTTAACTGGAAAATGGGCATAATAGTTAATCTGAAAAATTGTTGTGAGCCTAAATGAGATAATATACTTCAAGTGCTTAACACAATATCTGAGTCAGCAGGTACCCAAAACGTAACTGTTCCTTACATTTCTGTGAGTGATTTATGTTGTTTCTAAACATCTCTCACTCCCAAATAAAGCTCTCTGCGGGTCAAATGCAGGGCTTCTAGCCTGCCAAGATGCATTAGTCTCTGGCTCGCTTTCTAAAATGGAATTTGACCACCTAGAATGACTGCTTTGTCTCAATGCGCAAGTAGTAGTGTTAATCACTCAGTCGTGTCCGACTCTGTGACCCCATGGACTGTAGCCCACCAGGCTCCTCTGTCCATGGCATTCTGCAGGCAACATTCTGGAGTGGATTGCCATTCCCTTCTCTAGAGGATCTTTCTGACCCAGGGATAGAACCCTGGTCTCTTGCATCACAGGCAGATTCTTTACCACTGAGCCATCGGGAAAGTCTTAAATCGCCTAAGTCTGTTCAGCAAAGAATTTGATTCATCCTTCCTCCTCCTCCTTCTCACCAGAGCTGAGCGACCCAGCTGTGTGTACATAACGTGAGGGCTGAACACTCACTAGAGACCATCTAGTCCAACCCTCTTGATTTCAAGATGAAGAAATCAAGATTGAGAAGGACGAAGGGGTATGACCTAAGACTCATAGCCACTTAGTTACAGAATTAGGAGAACTAATACCTCCAGTTTTTTAATGGATATTTCATCATTTTCAGAGTACTTTTGTACTCTGTTTTATTTGATCCTCACTACAACTTTGAAAAGAAGACAGAGAACATATTACCATCCCAATTTTGCAGATGAGCAAACTTAAGATCCAAAGGTAAAGCAGTTCCTAAGTTTCAAACCCAGGACTCTGAACTCTGAGTCTAGTGTCTTGCCCAGGCCCAGCTCAGTTGCTAATGCCTTGCTGATTAGCTCTGAAAAATATGTACGTGGTCCAAACCTGGGATACCTTATACATCATTGGTCTCTGTTTTGTCAAGGAGCAAAATTCTCAGATAAATCTTTAAAGACAAAGGGACTCTGGAACAAAACACAGTGGGGAAGCTGACCCCCAAAGGAATCTATTCATCAGTTCATTCATTCATTCACTCGTTCATTTATATATCCAATATTTCCTAAGCAGCCTGATATGTGAAGAACTATGCAAGGTGATGTAGGAATATGAGCTGAATCAAACATCATCTCTGTCCTCCAGGAGTTGACAGTCTAGCAAAAGAGTTTACCGTTTCTGAGTTTAGCTAACAAAGGGCCCTTCTCTTTTAACTAATAAAAATGAACAAAATGTCATTGTTTGAAATGTTTGGGTCAGCCTTCAGACTTTATAACTCTAGTCTGGTGATCTTAAAAATTGATAACAGTCAGTCTTTCCAAATTCCAAAACTTGAAATTCTGAGCATCACTTATCAGAATATAAAAACTAAAATTATAGATCAAGAAAGTCTGGGCAATTGCATCTAATCTGGACTGAAACCCGAAAGCATCAATTGGTTGCTCAGCCTTCTTTATAGTTCAACTCTCATATCCATACATGGCTACTGGAAAAACCATAGCTTTGACTATATGGACCTTTATATTGTCGAGATAGCAGTGATGGCAGATACAGATTTTGTTGGGCCTAAAGTGTGTACATCTTGGGGGAGGGGTGGGGAAGAAGGTCTTTAAGAAAAAGAGTAAAACAAAATTATCATCACAAAGTTGGATATGAATTTAAATGTTTATTTTGAATGCAGAAATGGATCACAACAAACTATTGGAACCTTGGAGATTCCAGTCACTTTTTCTGAGGGCTCTTAGACAGTTAACCAAAACTGTGTAAGTACAAATACTTCCTATTGGTAACCTGGCTTCCCCGCCCCTCCTAGGACCCTCTGTACTCTCAGCACTTCTGGGGCTTGGCTAATGAGGGGCCCTGATACCTGAGCTTTAATAGATCCACAGTGAGTTCACCTCTCGTTGTGAATATATGTGTGGGGTAGGGAGGAAACCTTGAAAGACAGGTGGGAAGGACGCTATCAGCTGTGTTCACCAGTCCAGGAACCATGGCTTTGCTTCTCTAGTGTTCATGGAGATAGGATTTGGACGCAAAGTAATGCTGAAAGCTCAGTGTCTCTGTGCACAGGTACAAATCTCTGTACAAATCTCGGAGACAGTTTTGGGTGAAGTAGAACAGGACCTTCCCTACTGGCTCAGACTGTAAAGAATCTGCCCGAAGTGCGGGAAACCCAGATTCAATCCTTGGGTCAGGAAGATCCCCTGGAGAAGGGAATGGCTACCCACTCTAGTATTGCTGCCTGGAGAATTCCATGGACAGAGGAGCCTGGCAGGCTTTAGTCCATGGGATTGCAAAGAGTCTGGCATGTCTGAGCGAGTGACACTTTGACTTTCTTTAGGCTTTCTTGGTGTTTCAGATGGTAAAGAATCTGCCTGCAATGCAGGAAACCAGGTTCAATCCCTGGGTTGGGATGAGTCCCTGGAGAAGGAAATGGCAGCTCACTCCAGTATTCTTACTTGGAAATCCCATGGACAGAGGAGCCGGCGGACTACAGTCCGTAGGCTTGCAAAGAGTCGGATATGACTGAGTGACTAACACTTCATTCCAGAAAAGGAGAGCTTTGTTGCTTTGCCGGGCAAAGGGGGTCACAGTGGGCTCATACCCTCAAAACCATGTGTACCCCTTTGGGGAAGATAGTGAGGAGTTTTGTAGTAGTTGTTCAAAAAGGGTGTAATCAGCTCATGGACATTCTTCTGATGAGTTGCTGGTGAAATAAGTAGGAGTCAACATCATCAAACTCCAACTCATCTGGGATCTACTTGCTTGTGGGCAGCATACTATCATTAATTGTTAACTTCTCCCACCTGGAATGGGTTTCAGTATATACAGAATTGTTCAAAGATATTGTTGTGAGAATCTGTTGACGGGGAATCCAGAATCTTGCCCCATGGCTGCTGTTGACAATTTGTTTCTCCCTGATCTCACATCCTCTCCCTTCCCTACTTAAAAACTGCTTGAATCTGCCCATTGGAACTCAGGGAAGGTCACAGAGGCTGAATGAAGGCTGTTTCCTGTAATCAAAGAAATGGGGGACACAGAAAGTCCTTGTGCCCAGGAGCCCCACAGGGCCCTGCACAGTATCAGCATAGAAACTACAGCAAGGTCGATTTGGGGAACAGTATAAGGACTCTAACAACCAGAACTGTTCATCCACAGAATTAGCTTCCTGACCGTGGGAAGAGGAACAGTAAAGATGGGATCATTACCTTTCAGAGTCCTATAGCCTAGATTCCTTCATTAGAATCTTGGTCTGGAATTTGCTCTTTATCATCTTTCAAACTCCTAAGTTTTGCATCATTCCATTATGATCATCTGTTCTTTTTTGGCCAACTTGTGGTCATTTAACCTCCTTTTATGGACCCCTCTTGGAAGGAAGCCACACACACACAGTATGGTTTCTGTCACACTGTAGGCTCAAGCCATCCTTCTTTTCATTTCCAGGACAGACATATACTCTAGTTCTGGCCCCTGTAACTATTCCAGGAAGGGGGCAAGGGACCAAGATGGCAGACAAGACTAAAGTTTAATCCTCAATCAGCAAGCAAAATGGCACACCCAGAGGTGCCATGACAGTTCCAAGGCACTGTCAAATGACCAAGGATTGGGCGGTGGCCCAATTCCTGGAAATCTCCACCCCTTCTCTAGAATAGATGGAATAATCCTCCCACTCACTAGCATGTGAAATTGCCCAGCATATTAAAGCAACCACATTTCGAGGCTGCACTCAGCCTCTATGATGGCCCCACACACTGTGGAGTGTGCTCCTCTCTAAATCTAAATAAATCCATTTCTGACCTATCACTTTGTCTCTCACTGAATTCTTTCTGTAATGAGACATCAAGAACCTGAGCTTCATTAGGTCCTGAGGCCAGGTACCGTGGGTTTTGGCTTGGTTGAGTCCCAGGCCAGTGGGTTCAAGTACCAAACAGGGTTTTGGCAGGGTTTGAGCCCCACCTGTGAGGGTTCAAGTCCCAAGCAGGGTTTTGGCTGGGTTCAAGTCCTGATTATGTGGTTTCAAGTCCCAAACTGGGTTTTGGCTGGGTTTGAGTCCCAGCACATGGTTTCAAGTCCCAATCTGAGGTAAATTGTTTCAAAGGGAATTATGGTTGGTCTCATTTATACTATGCACGTTTAAAAACACTGTTTTGTTTGTTCAGTTTTGTTAGTATTTGTAATTTTTAGCCATTTCTGGCATCACAATGCTGTTTAATATTATAAATTAAGTTTCTTGAGTACAGTTTTCACTCATATGACATCTGTAATAGAGTTTCATATTTTTGGATGTAGGTAATCAAACTTTCCCACTCAGCAGACTAAGGTGATATATGTGTTTACCTTTGAAAAGTACTCAAAGAATTTTACTTTAGTAGGTCTCCCAAGTCTTTTTCATCTTGATCACTAATACAAAATTGATGTTCCCACACACAGAAATTGACAAGCTTATAAATTAGACTTGTGGACAACCCTTCAATAAAGGAACTATTTTTCTACTGTTAACAGACCTTTTTAGATATTCATTAGCTTATTTAGCGCTTATCATCTTGTCTTTGGCAAAACTGTCTCCTAAAGAATAGAAACTCCAATGAAGGATAGCCGTATTAAAAATGCTTTTTTCCTCATGCATATTCAGCCAAACACATACATGAAATCAACATACTTTGCTGACACTCGTGGCTTTCCCTGTTAGTGCAGAAGTATAAAAATGACTGAGCAAGCTGGAACCCTAGAAATCTTAATAACCATGGGGGGAAATTGCAGTTGTTTCATGACCTTTAAAAAAAATTTTGTCAAAATCTTAAAATTCATCTTAACTGTTGCTTATAAATGTGTGCAGAAGTTTTAAAAATAGTAAAACTAATAATTATTTAGTACCTTGTAAGTTAAAACATTAGGCATGTTGAGAATTAAAGTCTTTAATTGTAGAAATTAAAAAAAAACAACAAACTTTGAACAGTGCTTCCCTTCTGGTTATCATATAGCCTATGACGTGGAGTTGGGGTCTTTTCTGTGCTTTGGTGAATTGTTATACTTCTTTCCAAGTTTGGGTCAGCTTCCAACATTTCATCCTTTGCACTTTTAACGGCTGCAGGAATTGCTTAAAAGTGATGTTTTTGTTAGCATCACTTTCTCTGGGATGACTTCATCTTTTTATTGTAAAACAGGTTGGGTGTCTGTTAGAATCTTGCCTATAAATTGAGTCTAGGATCCATTAGCACTGACTGGACCTGCTTAGGCTCCACAGAAAGTCACTTTGAAACCCAGATCTCAAAGCTCAACCAGCATTAGAAATTGTAGTGCCTTATGCTTTTTCTTTTTTTCTTTTTTTTCCATTTATTTTTATTAGTTGGAGGCTAATTACTTTACAACATTGCAGTGGTTTTTGTCATACATTGAAATGAATTAGCCATGGATTTACATGTATTCCCCATCCCGGTCCCCCCTCCCACCTCCCTCTCCACCC